GACTTAGAATGGTCCTTATCTACAAATCTCTCCTACGTTTTCTTTCTATTACAATAAGCCCCTCTTTCATCAGTACTATCAGCAAAAGCTGCAGGATATTTTATCTGGCTGCAGTTCAGCTCCATGTGGGGGTGCTCGCATGCACCCTGCGGTATTTTGTGCAGTTACGAGCAATTTATGTGATGTTTAAAAGTGCATACTTTACTGTACAGATTTAACTCTTTGCTTGAATCCAGTGTCTGATTAAACTCAGTTCAAGATGTCTGTAGAGACCAGAGTTTAAATCTTGAGTGGTGTTGACTGCCTCTACTCTGTCATCACCTCCGAAGGTTCTTGGCGGTTTTTGGGATGCAGCCCCAACATGTCTTACATGCACTACAAAAGACCTTAAAAAATTCTTTCCAAACCGAGCACAGGTTTCTTGAGCAAGGGCCCAAAAGGGCAGGAGCCTCCTCCTTAAGCCTTTCTGGCATGACATCTGCAGTCTGCTCTGGGGCTCGGGTTGGTGATGTGCAAAGGTCCTTTCCAACCCAACCCATTCCACAGTTCTATGGAGATTCTGGAACCAAACAAAAGAGAAGCTCTGTGGTAAAATGAATCACTGTGTTAAAAATATACAGGAAATACTGCATTTCTTCAGTATCTCTAAGAATTGTAAGTCAACAACTATATTTTGAAAATAAAAATGAAAGCTGGGTTCAAGAGTGTAATCCTACAGGAAATGTAGTATTTCTGGAACAAGACCCTGTTTCTGTCACAATTTCCAAGCTCCCTTTTTGAAATTAGAATGTTATCTCTCCTTCAGACTGGCTTTTCTAATGGTCTTCCTTGTAGATGCTGACAGACCAACTCACTCCAACTCAGTCATTTTAAGTGTAATACACTGTTAGTCTGTCAAGGCATCCTGCTGACAATGTAGTAAAATAATACAACCACCAGAAATCAAATGTGCTTTAACTTTTGGTAAGGCCAGAGGTGGTCCAGTAGCTGAACCGGATGACTGTTGTAAGTCCAACTGAAAATATTCTATTATATTCCCGTTCTATTTCACACAAACAGCTTGCATGAAAAAATACTTTTCTTTTCCAGTTACTTCGAAAAAATGGAAGAGTAGATGGAGTCAGACTCAATCATGATGGCTGTGCCACTGGGATGCAGATGTATGTAAGAGGAAACAATTCCAGACAATAAAAGCATGCTGTTGGTGCAGGAACAATTTTCACACCTGCCAAAAGACCCACTGTGTTTCTTGCACTAAGCACGAAATATTAAAAAATAGACATATAAACATGCTTCCTTAGACCTGAAGATATACAGAGAACCTCTTGCTTTACTCAGGACTCAACTCCAAATCACTGCTTTAACAGTAAACCATTATTCAGAGGTAAGAGTGTGAAAATGGATACACAGTGTCAAAACACACTGAGGTTTATGCACCATTCTGGGTTTTTGGCGGTGGGTTGTTGTTTTTTTTTTTAATTTGAGCATGATTCAATAAATAAAACTTCACACACAGTGAGAATTCTCATGGCGTAAGACAAATCTCCAGCTATGTAAACCTCAAGGAGCTCACTTACATTTCTTTTGTTAGGTCTACAACTTTCCATTTCTCTTCTTCCAGTTGTTATTGTTTTACCACTCTCTATGTTCTACATCTGGGTTTACAAGATGCTACTGACCACACAAACCAAATTTAATATCCTCTCTTTGGTTTCCTACCAAACCACAAGACCATCTATCCTATTTTTTGTCTAATTTTTTGTGTCTTCAATCCTTTTTCTTTTATGTAATTTTTGATCTCATAAGAACAAGCCCAACTCCTTCTGTGGTGATGCACTAATGTAACTGAAACTCGGATTTGCCTCTTAGAAACAAACTCGGTTTCCTCTGTTGACACCAATAATACTTTTTCCAAAGACTTCCTCATTCTCCCACTATTGTTTTATGTTTCAGCAGAATATTACTCTAATCCAATCATTTTTCAACCAATCTAATACAGCCTCAAAGTGGATTAGCCAGCAGGCACTGGTAGACTGCACATCCATCAGTTGACAGCTATAAAATCCTTGGATAATTAAATCCAGAGAGAGATCCAGAAAGGAAAGGGAAAATTCATTTGTCTCCTACTTCTCCATCTGTTGCTGTTCACTCCATACAATTGAGGATCAGCTCCTTGGCCTTTCTTCTCCCATCCACCCAAAGCTGGAAGTGGCTTCCAGCCCCGGGGCAGAAGAAACAGTGCTTTGAGAAACTGCGGGTGACCAAAGGGCGAGGAGGAGGTGTCCGATCCCCCTGCCCCCTCCGTTCCCCAGCCAGAGAGCTTCTCCAAAAGCTGCACCAACGCTACACTACCTACAGAGGGCTTTGCATTCCTATTTCTGTTCTTTGAGAAGGCTATTTATTATTTGTAAGTGGTAAATTTGTATTTGCTATAAATGTTTTCTATAGCATTTTCGATATGATTCATTTCATTATGATATTCATCTAACTGAATGGGACTGGTTACGAAGCGTGCAGACCTCTTCCCTGCTGTACCAGCACCCCCCACACTGTCCTTTTCTCCTGACGCTGTCAGAGCCACCACACTGCAAGTGCTGCTTAACCACCGCTCATCAGTGAGTTGAAAAAGGAAAATGAAAAAAATGGAACTTAGAGGTCCATTTCTCCTTTTGGCTATCTGCCAGCAGAGCAGTTGGTGCGGATTAGTGATTGGGGTTTAGTTTTCCCGCTTTAGGGAGTGGCTGTGGAAGGATGCTTGAGGAAACTGCTTTGGTAGTGTGAAGATAAAAGGTTTTGTTAGTTGCTTTGTGTGCATGAGACAGATGCTGTACCATATTTTTGTCAGTCTGAAATAAAATAGCCTTATTAATGGTGTGGACTCCCTCTTGCTGTCCAGAGGGCGCCTCAAACAATTACAGTAGAATGAGAATTCCAGGGAAAGAGGAAGAAGAAAGAGTCATGAGGCCCGCAAAGGACTCAGGCTGCCCATTCCACAGATCTCTACACCTAATTTTCTTTTCCTTGGACAATGGATAAGGTTTAGGGAGACCTCATTGTGATCTTCAGCACCCTTACGAGGGGCAGTGAAGGGGCAGCACCGATCTCAGCTCTGTGTGACCAGTGACGGGACCCAAGGGAACAGCTGGACCTCTGTCGGGGGGTTAGGCTGGATATCGGGACAAGGCTCTTCCCCAGAGGGTGGTTGGCACTGCCCAGGCTCCCCAGGGCAGTGGGCACGACCCCAAGGCTGCCAGAGCTCCAGGAGGGTTTGGACAATGCCCTCAGGGACAGGGTGGGATTGTTGGGGTGTCTGTGCAGGGCCAGGAGTTGGACTGATGATCCTTGTGGGTCCCTTTGCACTCTGGACATTCTGGATTCTGTGAGAAGGAAAGGGATGATGAGCACTCAGCCCTGAGGAAGGACACCTTGCTCTCTTGCAGGACAGCGAGCTTTACGTCATGGACTGTGTTCCTCGCCTTACACAAGGTAGGAATTAATCCATACCCCTTTTACTTCCATGAAATCCCAAGCTACTCTCATACCTTAAAGGAATATTTCGGTGCACAAATACAGTGTCAGCAACACAGTACATACTATCAGCCCATCTTTGCTTTTTAAAAGTAAGCTTAGAATAAAACCTTGATTACCTGCATAATTAATCCCCATTCACAGGAATTTGCATGCCTGAATAATTAAAGAATTAGGTTCTAAAAATGAAAAGCAAGCAAAGCCTGCATTTTTGTACTTGAAAAGCTTCAGCAGCAATCATGATAGTTCACAGCACATAAATAATTCAAACTGAGCTTTCTCATCTTTATTTTTTTTTCCTCGCAGAAATCCTCTTAGTGCTTCCTAATTAAATGAAAATATTTTATAAGCCATCACTTTGTGACATCACAAGAATATTTTAAACTCCGGATTAGACAAGATGGATTTGCATTTTCAGTATTCGCAATCTGATATTGGGGGCCGTTTAATGGAACCGCAGACCACCACAAACCGGTGACAAAACAGGCGCGTGCTTTTGAAAGAAAAAGAATGGGGGGAAAAAAAATCTGTGTTGGGTGCCGGTCATCTGAGTTTAACTCAACATCAATTTCACTTGGCAACGGAGCACTTCATGCCTTAAAGCGCTGGGGCCGTAACAAAACAACAACAAACCAACAAGAATCCCCAAAATGCTGACGCGAATGCCGCGCAGGTGTGCGGGGAGGAGCGGACACCGTTCGGTGCCACAGGTGACTTTTCGCCCACAATTTAACCTATTTTACCACCACGGCGCCGTGAGGGCCGCGGGATGGCAGGGGGCGCTCTGCGCCCGCCGTGCGGGGCTGGCCGAGGGGGAACCTTCTGGAAGGGCCCGGGGCCGGGCCGTGCCCGGGGGGCTCGGGGGACACCGTGCCCTCGGTGAGCGGCCGCGCCGTGCCCCGGAGCCCCGGGTGGCGTGTGGCTGCCGCGTCCCGGGTCAGCGCAGAGGGGCAGGGGGAGCTCGATCGCTCCCGCCTTGGCCCGGAGCCCGGCCCGCCCCCCGCTCGGTCGCGGAGCCGCTCGCTCGGCGCTGCGCTCCCGCCCGCCTCCATTTTCTGCGCGCTCCCCCCGCGGGCCGAGCGGGCTGTGGCGGCCGAGGGGCCGCGGGGCCCGGGCCGGCGAGGCGCCGGAGCGGCAGGACCCGCCGGCGCACAGACCTATCTTCATCCTGGGCCCCGCTCCGCCGGCGGGGACCGGCGCGTTCGCTCGGAGGGCGCCGCCTGCAAACACAGGCTGGAAGGAGTCGCGGCTCTCCTCCCTTACTATTTATTGTGATGTATTTTGTTAACTTTTGGGCTCTCTGGAAGCAGCGCTGTGCCTGCCCCTCTGGCAGCGCCCGGATTAACGCTTGTCCCGCTCATGGCTGTGGCCGAGCCCGGCCGGCGCTGCCCCGTCCCCGCGCAGCGGCGGCGCCGTGTGAGATGGCGAGGCTGCGGGGACCTGTGCGGGGACCTGTGCGGGGACCTGGGCACGGACCTGTGCGCGGACCTGGGCACGGACCTGTGCGCGGACCTGGGCACGGACCTGTGCCGGCCCCTCTCCTCGGGCACTGCCCCGATCCCAGCAAAAGCGCCCCCAAACGCCAGCACCCACGGCGCCCGCTCTGCCCTCTCCCTCCCGAGGAACCGAGCACCGGGCCCCGGAGGATGTTTCAAAGACAAGGTTGCTGAAATCATACCGATCCTTTAAAAACGGTGCCGCTGGTTGTTTAAAAATACATGCGCTGCCCCGTGTCACGATTTAGAAATGACAGTTTATGACTATTTCTCCTGGACTCTGCATTTTTTATTTAAAAATATAACTACTTTAAAAACAATAATCAGAAACACGTGCATTGCCCTCGTGTCACGATTTTTACACGAGAGCCTATTGCTGCTCCTCCTGAACTCTGCATTTTTTTTTTTTAGTGTTCGTGAAGAGCAAGGTCAGTCCTGGGACTGAGAACTTTACTCGGGTGAGACGGCGGATTTAATTCCAGCAGTCAGCCCCGCGGCCGGGACAGAGGGATAACCGGGGATGTACCACCGTAAAACAACCCCGAGGTAGGAGTGGCACAGTCGTATTTTATCACTGCGGTTTGTCACCGTGCTCAGTATCACCCGGGCATCATTCTGGTTGTTCCGTTTTACCGAGCACTGTCTAAACCAGACAAAAAGACAGAGCCCGGCGAGAAAAGCTGCTCCTGTTGCTGACTTTGCATTCCCTCGGGTCTGATTTGTTCCCTATATATTGAAAGATGTACAGTTGTTTTTGTTTTTGGGGTTTTTTTTAATATATTTAAAAATACATATATTTTATATAATATTTTTTATATATAAAATCAATGTCAATCAGAATATCTCAGTTCCGGGTTTACCCTTTATTAAACTGTTTTGGGAGGTTCTGCGTGGCCTAGTGCAGAGGGACGGAGTTGCTGCTTCGTGCCGAAAACAGACATTGCGGGGGGGGGGAACACAAAAAGAGGTTCCTTCCGTTCCGTCCATGGTGGGAAATCCGCGCAGCAGCCGCGCCGCCGGGATCCGGCAGTGCCGTGCCGTCCGCCCGTCCTGGGCTGCGATAGTTGTTGTTGTTGTTGCATTTTCATTTTCGTTCTTCGCTTCCCTGAGCTCTCCACAACGTCCCGGGGTTAGGGGATTCTTCAGCGCTTGCCGTGGCCGATTCAGGGTGCGGCCCCGGTGCCGCAGCCCTGCCCGGGTCGCTGTTTGTGCCGTGCGCTCCGGGTGGGTCACACACGGCACGGCCGAGTCCTGGGCACGGGGGGGGCTTTGTTATTGCCCCCCTCGGAGCGAACATGCGATGGGTTGGATAAAAGCGCCTGGTGGGTGCCGGGGCCGGCTGGGCTCCCCGCCGTGGTTTGGGGTACCGGGTGCCGAGCATCCCACGGGCCGGGGTCGGGCCGGGCCGGCCGTGCTCCCGGAGGGTCCTGCTCCCGGAGGGTCCTGCTCCCGGAGGGTCCTGCTCCCGGAGGGTCCTGCTCCCGGAGGGTCCTGCTCCCGGAGGGTCCTGCCCGGAGCGCGGCTGTCGCTGCGCGCACATCCTCTTGAAGCATTCTGCGGTTAGGAGAGCCTTTTTTTTTTTCCTTCCCGTTTTGGCTGTAACTTTCGCACACTGTTTCTGCAGTGCTCACATCTGTTTATGTCATCCTTGGAGCGTGTTGCAGTGAATGTGGGGTTGAAACGAAGTCGTAGAACTTATTGCTTGTTAATGTGGGTGCTTAAAGAGAGGCTATGTAAATCCGTAGTTAGGCCTTTCTTGAAAGGTGGCCTGTTTTCTCCTGAGGCTTCAGGACCCAGCCCCTTCCAGCGAGATGCGCGGGAATAGTGAGTGCTTAGCAGGTTCGGAAGATACTTGTCTTTGTATAAAAATGAAACCACGAACCTTAGTGGGGTGCTCGTCCTGCAATAAGCGGGACTAATTCTGCGTTTTTCTCTTTGAGAGCCCCTTCTCACTTTGTTTTAATAGCGTGTATTGTGTGGAGAGCGACTGGAAATCGCAAAGAACTTTCAAATAAGTAAAAACTTTGACGGAGCACTGGTGATTAAATAACACAGGTGGTTAAAACAATTAGTGGGGCGTCAATAAAATAATTTATTTGAAAGGTGAATGAAGGCAGAATATTGCGGGATAGTTAGTAATGCAGCGTAAGCCCGGAGAGGTTTGGGAGCGGCTGGGTGCCGCTGGGGCCGGAGCAGCCCTGCCCCGGGACGGCGCGGCCGCAGAGGAGCTGCGGCATCGTCCGCTCGTCCCGCAAGGCTGAGGAGAGGAAGGAAAATACACCTGGATCCTGACAGGGGACACCCCGCAGGGATCCGCGGAGGGCCCCACTCGCTTCCCACCTGCGTCAATAGAAGTTTTGTCTTCCAGTTCATTAAAGTACAGTCGGGCCCTCCTCGTCGTCTCCATAGGGGCTTGGGGATTTTTTCTTCTGGAAATCCTTATTAATGGATTCATGTGGTAAACATGGGTATAAAGTGGGCAATTAAAAAAAAAACAGTAAAGGCACGAAATAAAGTAGAATAAAATAAAATAGAATAAAATAGAATAAATAACATAAAATAAAGTAACATAGAATAAAATAACTAAAATAAAATAAAATTAAAATAAACCAACCACAAACCCCACACCTCCTGAACTCTGCATTTTTTACTGCCTGTGAATAGGAAGATCAGTCCAAGCAAAAATACTGAAATTTTGTTTTGGAAGTCTCTGTCTTAAATAGGTCTCATTAAAAAAATTAATTAATTTCTAGTTAGGGGAAATGAATAGCTATCGCAGCCTTTTCACCTAAAATGCTCACTTTTAAACTGGTGAGGTCATGTTTTAAATGTTCTGTACGTCTGTAACCGCGTGTTACTGAGATTAACATCTACGGTGTCAGCCAATATTTTAACTACAGAAGTAATAATCAGGTGAGTGGGATTTTTAGAAACGTATCGTGTGTTTCCTCCTAAGCACGGAGACGCTGGGGGTCTGCCCTATTTTGTTGCCACCGCCTCTCATTTTTTCGGCATGCACAGGCTTCCCTGGAAGATCCTGACAGTTTCGGGAAGGCTCTGTTACTTTCCAGTCTTTTCCAGGTAAACTCCGATGTGGTCTCAATTATTTCCTGGATGTATATGTTTATTATTTAAAACTAATTGCAGCAAAGTAGCCCCTGATAGTAGAACGTTTACAATGTATAATGTTGATTAGCTTTCCCCAGGGAGCTGTCGTCTGGATCCAAATTTTTTTCCTCCTCATTTTTACCACTGTTTCCAAATAATCCCGCGTCCTTCCAGTGGAAAAGCCAGGGGAGCGTCTTCTAAAATGTTATTTAACACGAAATAACGACGCGTTTGAACATCCACAAAGTACTGATTTCGTGCCTGCCCTCAGACTATTACCTCAAATAACATCCCACGCTGTGTTGAGGGCAGGCGCTTGCTCTCCCGGCTCTTCCTGTGTCCTATTAATAGGACAAATCCGCCCGCGCATGACCCTTCTTACAAGAATTCGGCCACAGTTTGCTTCGACTTATATCTGGCTGCAAAACGGGTCCTTTAATTAAAAAAATACCAATACATTTTACCCTTTGAAAGCACTTCGATGGGGAGCTTGGGGTGCGAGAGTCGCACGCGTGTGCGCCTACAAACCGGAGTAGGTGCGGAGCCTCGCCCGCATCCTGACAACAGAAATCTGCTGGCTTTCAGTAAATAAAGCGTGTTTAGTTTGGTATTTTCTTTTTTTCTCAGGAAACGCGTTTTGGTTGGTATGCAAAAAGGAGAGCAGCCGTCAGGGACTTGCCGCTTATTTCCCCAAACTTTCTCAAGCGTTGGCAGGGCGGGAGGTGAAAGCACTTGAATAAAAAGCCTTTTTTTTTTTTTTTTTTTTAAGAAAAAAACCCACGCAAACACTCAAAACCAAACAAATATGTATTTTTTTTTTAAGCCTCATTAAGAAAAAAAATTAATAAGACACACCTATGTTTTGTTTCTAGGGTAAATTTATCCACCACTGAGGGAGAACCCCAGCGGCTCCTGCCCCCGTGGAAAGGGTGCCGAGAGGAAGAGCTGCAGCCCAAGGCCGGCTGAAAACCCGGTAACATCATATATACCAGCATAACATCAACCCAGGTCCCGATCGGGACCATCGCAGCCGGGGCCCCCGCGGCCACGAAGTGGTACCTGCCAAAAAGTCAGGTCTCCTGGGACGGGTTGGGAGATGATTTGCTGGAAGATATTAGGAATGAAGGAAAAACAACTGGTAGAGATGAGCTGGAAAGCTCTGTGTGTGTGTGTCCCCAGTCAGCACGTCCTTTCTTCCCCCCCGCCTTTTTTTTTTAGGGGTTCAAACCAGAGTATGTTTGCTCAGCAGGTACCCGAAGGAGCAACCCTGAGGTTTGCTCTCCCGATTTGCTCTGTCGGCCCCTTTGCGTTTATAGGTGAGCTTTTTATTCCTCAAAAGTAGCTATTATTGCTGTTAATGATTGTAAAGATGTAAAAAAGGACGTTAGAAAAAAGTGAATTCGCAGCCTGCTAGCAGAGAGCACCCCTCGCTCTCCCGGCAGTTGAAATAAGGGTGTCGATTGGGGTTAGGGAGCATCCTCCAATTTTAAGGGAGAAGTGCTTGAAGTCAAGAGTGCCTTTTTTTTTTTTTTTTTTTTTTCCCGGCTTTTCCCTTCTAGTATTAAAGTCGTGCAGGAGGAAGACGTTTCTCCTCCTCCAGACGGAAGGGAAACAGGCGTGCACGGGTTTTTAAATTTATTTTTGGGTTTTTTAAAGATGTTTGTCACGCTGCTACCATTATTCCAGGGATCCTGTAAGGTTTTCATTCACTGCCCGGTTTTCAGGGCTCCTTTCTTCATATTGCAGCCAACCCAAATTGAGACTTCGGAGTGGAAATAAAGGGGGGAAAATCAAGACAAAATAATGATAATAAAAATATGAAGCAACCTCCCCACTTCGCTCTCTATCACCCCCAAACCAAGTTGCCCCCCCCGAGCAAAATTCTCCTTGAGGAGGGAAGTTACTCCTCGTCCTGTCGGCACGTTTGAGTCATTTTATTTGCCTGGACTTTGGAACAAAGCTGGTTTCCAGAGGAAATTTCCACTCCTGCTGCCGCCTCACACCAGAGGGCGCCGGGAGCCTTCCCAGGTTTTGCTGCCTCAAGCGCTGCTGGAAATTAACTCTTTGGGCGCTCTCTCTGAAGGCTTTTCTAACCTTTTCCTTTTAAAATATACAGCTAGATTCTAACTTTCCCCCCACCACCACCCTGTAAAATGCGTGTTGGTTTGTTTCGGTTTGGGTTTGTGAGGGTTTTTTCCCCGCTCTTGTGTTACCCTTTCCCAGCACTTCCAGGGCTTGACACTCCCCCCACAGCCCCCCAGCACTCTGAGGAGATTTACAGCTTCTCTCGGTCTCTCTTAACTTGGTTCTAATTAAGTCACTGCATCACGTTTGCGTGACATTGCCGTGTTTTCCCTCGTAATTGTCAGGGATAAAAGTTTGTCTGGCTGTGTTTAAGCTTAAAGGGTCACTTAGGGCTCTTCAGGCAGGACCCCAGCGAAGCACAGCGCCAGGGGAAAAGCGGTGAGTGAACCAGCCCAGAGCACCTCCCTGTGCCACCTGTGCTGTTCAGCTCTGGGCCTGAAGGGTGCGAGGCCAAACCCTAATGTGGGGCGTAGATTAATGTGTGCTACAGGCTCAGAGCTTTTTTACACTGAGACCTAAGGAAATCCATGGGTTTTCCCACGGACAGGAGTGTGTTGGGAGGGCATCAGATTTGTGCCTGCCATGTTTCTGTGCCCCAATGGCTGTATCTGATTTGGTTCTTACCCACTCACTTTCTGGCCTGACAGGATCATCAAAGTCCATCTCCTGGCCCTGCACAGACACCCCAACAGTCCCACCCTGTCCCTGGGAACGTTGTCCAAACCCTCCTGGAGCTCTGGCAGCCTTGGGGCTGTGCCCACTGCCCTGGGGAGCCTGGGCAGTGCCAACCACCCTCTGGGGGAAGGACCTTTTCCTGAGATCCAACCTGACACAGCTCCAAGTTTGCTACAACTCAAAGAATACTTCAAGAATAAGTAACCCAAAGAGCAAATACTGCAGGAAATTATAGAAGACTTTACCTATAACTGGGGATTATAAACCCTCAGCTTCAGCAAAAGCATTTCTTGTGTTTATCTGCATATGCAAATGCTGTGGCTCACCCTCTGAGACTCCGTTTTAGTGGCAATGCAGGTTGATTATTCATAGAAAAAACCCAGGCAATCTGTGGGTGAATATTTATTATTACTTTATTTATTTACTATAGCAGTCTGTTTTCAAACAACGTAGAAGGACTATTTTCCAGAACAGGACGAGGGGGAATGGATTCACACTGAGAGGGAGCAGGGTTAGACTGGATATTAGGAAGCAGTTCTTCCCTGTGAGGGTGGGGAGGCCCTGGCACAGGTTGGGCAGAGAAGCTGTGGCTGCCTCAGCCCTGGAAGTGCCCAAGGCCAGGTTGGACAGGGCTTGGAGCAACCTGGGCTGGTGGAAGGTGTCCCTGCCCATGGCAGGGGGTGGCACTGGATGATCCGTAAGGACCCTTCCAACCCAAACCAGTCTGGGATTCTGGGATCCTCTAATTCTGATGAGCAGTTGGTTCCTCGGGTACTCAGTCCTGGTGAATGCTTGGGAACCAATTTAGCTGCTTGTCCTACACGTCTGCCTTACTCAGTGAAATGTGCTCAGCTGAAAACTACAATGCAGGTATGTCAGAAACGACTCACTGCTGACTTATTAAAAAAGAAAAGACAATGCAGGCCTGAACACTGATACCAGGTGAGTCCTGTCCCAGTGCTATATGTATTACCACCTTAAATAATGCTCGGACAGTTTTTTAAATACAACTTTCAGGAAGCGCATGAACATCTTTTCTTCATAATTTGTGCGACGTTTAACCATACCAAAACTAGATCAAGAACTTATCAATGTGGGCCCTAGATATATGCATAGTGTGTAGTTTCCAACAGATCTTATAACTCTAAATAAATGAATAAAAAGGAAGATAAATAATAAGAAAGAGAAGAAGGAAGAATAAACTAAATATTAGGATGCATCGTTTCCATGTTTCCTGTAAACTTTTATGCTATTCACATATCACTTAAGGATCAACAGAAATGCAAAATGCATGATCTGAAGATGTATTAAGAAATCTGAGGGAAAAAACCATAAAAACCAACAAAGAAAAACATTTTAATCCTGGGGGCTGGTGGAAGAACTCAGTTGAAGAGAAATAGTGTTTGTCCTTGTGTTATTTAAATGGAAATACAGATTTTAAAATTTTTTGTGACCGTTTCTTCATTTATGTCAGTAATTTAGCATCTCTCAATCAAAAAAAAGGAAAATGCATCAAAGGCTGCTGAGTTTACCCAAACACAAATCCCTCTACAGGATGTGATTTCATCACTTACTAGTTCATGTTGAGTTTTATCTGTCAAGTGTGTGTAAGGTGAGAATTCTAGTCTGAGAGCAAATAGGACAGTGTGCTGGATATTGTGAGAAGTGTGTTAAAGGGCAGCAGCAGCTTGCCCAGGCCAGCCCTGGCAGTGCCTGGTTATCCAGTGCCCAGCGTGCTGTGCCTGGGGCAGCTCTGATGTTCAGAGCCCACTCTGCCACCTGCACAGGGGGTCTCAATGGACCTTCATGTCTGGCCATGGCACTGACTCACACCTGATAACTTCATTGATTTTCTTTTTGGAGGAGGAGTAGGGGGGCCTTTGGAGAGACTTCTCGACTCTTGGAACAACACAGGGGAAAAAAATCGTGTTAAAAGGCATCTTGGCCCTTCTGCCATTTTCATTGAAGCTGATGGTAAAACCCCCTTTCACTTTACTGGGAACAGGACTGAGCCACTTAAAATGCTATTTTGTAATATAAATCTTTTAAGTCTTAAATATTTCCATACAGTGCAGCAAAGAAGTCTCAAACGTCATCAGAAAGACTGCTTCTTGTTAGGCTGTTACAATGTGCTATTTCTGTTCAAATAACTTTTACTAATATGAAAGACAAATACATTTGTACAGTTTGGGAGCCTGACACTGCAGTTGGGTGTTTGCAGCTTTTATACATTAGCCTATTTAGGACAATAACTTAACTCTTCAGTTGCATGAAACAAAGCCCAGATGTTTCTCAGCAGCGTTTCCTCATCAGGTCTTTTAGCTGAGCCTTTCTGGAGTGTAGTGTAGAGTTTGGTTACAGTTAAGCTCGAGTCATATATTCCAAGAGTATGAAGGGGTGATGTAGTGAGGCACAAGTAGGAAGGGGGAAGAGGGACACTGAAGGAGGAAACAATCTTCTCCAGCTAAGCCAAGTCCCCACCCGTGGGACTATGGAGAACTCTTAAGTTCTCATCTTTGGATCTTCTTCCCTCCTTGGCAGTGACTTTAAAAAGGATTAACTGAGAGAACAGCAGCAGAAAAAGCCCCCAAAATACCATGCTCTGGGAAGGTCAGGGAGGTTGCCTTCTCCAGATGTACGGGGGCTCCAGGGTTCAAATTTGAATCTCTCTGTGCTGAGTTGCTGTGATGTCCTGCCCAGCATCCTATCTTCCCACCCAGGAATATATTGAGGGCAACACAATTTTCGTGGATTAGTTATTTGTTTTCCCTGGAGTTAGCCTGGCTGGGTAAGCACAACTGAGCAGCATTTATGGAGTCATACAGGTCTCACCAGTGATCTCCCAACAGGGGGGTATTGTCCAAGTGACAACCTACCTGAGCTTGTGCCAAATGCCACTACAAGTCTCTCTTTTCTTTCTGTTTCTGGGTGTGTTGTGTCCAATGGCAGTGTCCTACGATAGCTTTTCCGGGGAGGAACTGCCTTTATAGCTGGTGTCTTTATAGCACCTTGTGCAGTGGCCAAGGCTTACAAATACTCCAGAGGAGTAAAATGTAAAAACTATGGTAGAACAGCCTCCTGTTTTGATGAAAAGTTGCTAGCAGTTATGACATAATGAACTTAACCAAGAAGGCAATAAAAATTAAGTGCCCTGTTTGTGAGTGATGCATATCCTATATTAAGGCTAAATTTCCTGTAAGTTATACATTGAAACATTTTCCATTATGATGTTCATAAAATTTGGTATTCAACAACATTGCTTCCTTTCCTAGGTCTTTTGGAATCCAACCAGAGGACTGCAGGTGAGAGAGAAGCAGGGATACACATCACCAGAAGGTTGTGTTCCAGCAGTGGGAAAGCTTCGGGGAGCTGCTAAAAGCATTCTACACTGCATTTTTCTCTGGCCAGACTTCACGTGAGTGATCAAATGACAGGCCGTTATTTTTTGTATTTCCGAGGAAGTAATATTTTTGCTACTTGTAATGACTATTTGTAATTTTTGCTATTATAGTAAGCACCTATCCAATCAATCTTGATTTTTAAATCTCTTTTAGTCTCTTGAACAAATACGTTTACAAGAAAAATCAGGTTTGTTTAGAATCATGGAATGATTTAGACTGGAAGGGACTTTGAAGGTCATCTGGTCCAGCCTCCTACTCAAAGCAGACCTAACCTACTAAGATGGGTTGGTTTTCTATTAAATTTTTTTTATTATTATTTCAATTGCAGTATTTTATGGCAATAGTTCTTGCTGAAGAGCTTGTTCTAAACCACTTTCCATTTACTAATTTCCCCTGTTAACTTTTGCTATAAATATTCCCTGTAGTCACCTTTGGAATCAACAATCCCTGTTCACAATTTATTCTCTTGCCTCTTGCATTGACAATGGCAAAGAACAGAGACTAACCTGAATATGCAGAGTAAAATACAGTTTGGAAAATGGGGTTTATTATCCCATCTTCTGAAGAATGACCATACCTCAGTCCAGGATTATTGCTTTGAAGCTAAAGGAAATTAAATCATTCTTCCACCTTTAGGCCCAAAAGAAAATGACTTCATTTCCGTGTATTTCCAGAGACGATGAGCTGCTGATCTATGATTCTTCTCAACTTATAGGACAGCTGAACAAAATGTAAAAACCAAAGGCCTGGCTTTGCTCTCAGCTGTTCTGGTATAATCCAAGCTCAGCTTCTCTGGTGTTAATGAATTTATTCCAGTTTTATTGTACTGTGATCAAACCAGAATATATTGTATAGTTTGCGTGAAAGAATTGGGCCATTTTCTTCTGTTTTCAGATGATGAGCTGTCTGTTAGTTGATCTGTAGCCTCCCTTTCTCACCCTTTCCCTATTCTATAATTTAAAAAAATGTGTATTTGCAAAAGAACAACGACAAACTCTACCTGAAAAACTGTGTTACACAGTCTTGCAAACTCTTGTCTTTTAAAGAGAAGCCCCCTGCAGACCATGGAACCTGGGAAGGATCCTGTGGAGGATTTGGCCATGTTTAGAAAGCATCCAGAGTAGCTATGACAACTTCATGTCCAGGGGCCAAGATCGTGTCCACATACCAAATCTCTGACACTATGCAAGATCCTTATCCAACCTAAAGAGGAAACTGTAAAATTAGAATTGCCTAAAATAACCCCTAGAGAGACTATTGCCAGTTCTTGAGAAGAGCTGGGGTTTTTTTTGACATCTCAAATACAGCTTTTTCTTAAAATGTCTGAAACAGGAAACTTGTGAAAGAAAAGAAAATAATTAAATGAATAAGGTATCCACAACCCTGGAAAAACAGGTTCCCAGCTAGGTCCTTTTTTTGTTATTTGCTGTGATTTCTTTAACCTTCTTTGATCAGTTAAATGGACTTGGAGTGTTATAGAAGCCTCTGAAATATATCAATATAATTTTCTTGGGTTTATATTTGAAATGGGAGGGGTATCCAATGTGGGTTCCAGCTCCCTCTGACCTGGATGAGCTGGGATTAATGCTGAGTGCAGCGAGGGAGGCTGATCTCAGCACAGGGAGGTGATCAGGGTCTCATCCATTACCTGGTCCAGGCAGTTCGGATGCTGACTGTATTTTTTTGATATTACATGTGGAAGTGAAGCATTCCAACTGATAGAAATCTGCTTGTCCATGCAATGAATATGTTGGCTACAGCACCTGCAGCCTGTGCTTTCTGGTAAAAGCTGAGCTCTGTGTTAATTCTCTTAGTTATTGATTGGTAATAGTGTTTCTGCTTCCTGTCTCTGCAGTGAGGTTTTTACATCCTGCCTGTAGTTGATCCCTTCCTGTTTCTCTGGGTATGGCAAGGTTCTGTAAAGCAGGTTTTTATAAAGGAAGAGAGACCTGCAAAATGCATTACTAAAGGTACTGATTTAAAAAACCAGGTGCACAAATGATGTTTGGGTTTAAGTAGCTGGGATGAGGTTTTGAACATTGGCTCAGGCAGAACCAAACTCAAACATTTTAATAATGGCATGTTAACATAACTGCCTTATGCAAAATATTTCTGGCTGCTTTTTATGAAAGTAAACAGAAAGAGTGATATATCTGGATAAAGAGGAGCAGATGGTAATTTTCATTATTCCTCCCTTCCCCTCTCCTTTTACTTGCATCCCAGTGAGGGAGAACTAAAAGACAAAATCTCCTCTTTAGTGAATTTGGAACAGAAACTCCAAAATAGATATCCCAACTTATGCCTTAACGTTTGCCCTGTGGGGTCATGCTCTTGAACGCTCTCCATCCACTGGATTAATAAGGCCAAAGGATTTTTGTCACTGAAAAAAAAAATGTTCACATTTTACACGAGTTAAGGACTGCTTTGATTTGTGAAAACTCATTTTCAGTGTCTAAGTTCTTATCCAGGAAGAACTCTCCACTGTGATAATGGTTATCTGCAAGTCAGTTTTAACTTGGCACCCTTCACGTTTGGCAGCAGATTTTAGCTCTACGTAACACTGAGTTATTATTAATGTACCATATTGCAGATTTTAGGAAGGAATCAAGTTTTCAAGTCTTGGGGTTTTTTTTTTAAGTCAGGAAATGCTACAGATAGGCTTTTTACAGGCATGTCACTTTATGCTCTACATGTCCCGTGCATTTCATTATATTTCCCTTAAAATAACAATCCTTAGGTTAGTGCACATATTTAGTGATCAAAGCCATGTATTATACCGCCTGAATACAAAAGGTTTCACTCCATGTTTCAAGATCTTTTTCATTCTCCACATTTATAACATGACCTGTGTTAATATTGCATTGGCACTGGTGGGGTTTTTTTTATTTGACACAAGTCTAAGGATGTCTGAGTGGTCCTGGTTCAAGGTGTCTGTCACATGAGGCACAGAATTTCTCTCAGTAAAGATTGCTTTGTTTTTAAATTCAAGTGAATCAGAAAAAATACCTGTAAAAGGCTAAAAAGTATTTAAGGGTGGTGGAGGATGCACTTGGGGACAGCAGTTCATACAGTGGTGGGTAAAGTGGTGTGAGCCTGGCATGTGTATAGGGATGGCACTTAGTAATTGCTTATTCTGTTTGCCTTTTTTGTTGACTGATGTTTTTATCTGGCTCTCTGGAGTGAGGTATGCTGGATGTACTGTGGCTTTCCAAAAGGAAATACTGAAGTAACCCACACGGAGCCACAAGGAAAATAAACTGTCATTTCTAACACACGGCACATGAAGAAAAGCGCTTTCACATCACTTTGTTTCCTGCTCAAAGCTGTTTCTCAAACTGTGTAAGATCTCCAGCTCACATTATTGTTCTGAGGGGCTTCATACAAGAAGGGCTTTTTTTGTCTAGCAAGGCTAATGAGGTCCTATAGCAAAAAGACACACAATATCAGTAAGGAAACAGCTAATCTGACATTAACGTTCAATGTGTTCACTCATTTCTAAATGCATATTAATTTGGTGTAACTTTTCTGTCCTTGTACTAGAATAGAAAGTAGGACATCTGTGAGTACAGTAATTAAACAAGTCAACTAAACCCCATTTGAACAAAAGGCTTGGCATGGCCATGTTCCTACAGGTGCTTTTCTGTGCTTTCCAAAGCTGGGGTGGGTTCTGCTCTGTGTGCATCACCATCCTGTGTCCCTCACACACCAGCCTTGTTAGTGCAGCAGTCGAGCACTGCTGTCACAGGAAAAGCCATCATGCATTTCTGGTGTTCCTGGGATCCATCAGCATTGCCAGTCTCCCCATCTCCTTTGTGGAGGACACAAATTAAGGGGTTTTGTAGCTGGAGTCGAGGGATGAGACATCCTATCGCTACATGCAGAGGTAACGGAGCTTTTCAAGTCAGAGATGTCGCAGATGTTTCTTTTAGGCCCACATTAGAAACTTTTGCTCATACACTGATGTCAGCCTGGGTCTGAAAAAAACATAAATCCCACCTGGCCACTGGAGCTGAGCCAGCACAGTTCCTGGCGTGGACACAGCTGTGCTGCCAGGAAATGGCTGCTGCCAGATTAACCTGTTGGGTTCAGAGCCTGGTGCAACTCCAGTGGCACAAAATCCCCTCTGGCAGTGCCCTTCCCTGCAGAGCTGTGTGACACTCACAGGGACTGGGACTGCAGACAGAGGCTCCTCAGGGCAGCAGTTGAGATGGGCCTGGTGTGAGAACAAGGGGGAGACAAAGACACTGAGAAAGTGTCTGAGAACACAGCAAGAGTCATTGGCAGGTCTGGTAGGAGCTGTCCCTTTGACTGCAGGAGCCCCTTTGAAAACTTCCCACTCCATAAATCCATTTTTTTCGCCCCGGAAGCCACATTTTCTATGTATGCCAGTTTCCACTGGCTGCAGGAACATCTGCTGGTGGGACTAGGTTTGTTTTGCTTAGAAACACCCAGCATTTATTACCCTTCAGCTAAATGCTGAAGGGTCTGTCCCAGGAGGACTGCTCTGGATAGCAGAGAGGAGCTGGGTCTTCAGCCAGACCCTAGTGGGACAGTAAATGCCTCTGGTTCTCAGCAGATCCTACAGCAAGAACTCTCTCTGCCTGCTTCACAGTCCCAGCAAAAGGACTGCACAAACCCATAACCCAGCAGTATATCAGGTTCAAAGTATTTCTTCTGTCGTCACGTGCATCTGCCTTAGGTTATCAGCAAACCACAAAGAATTACACCAGCGAGGAAATATTCAAAGGTCAGCCCAGGATCAGTCTGAGTGACAGGTGGTGATGGGGTTTTTATTAGGCTTTCTGTCTCTGGTACCTGTTGATGTAGGAATGGCTGAGTTCCTGGGAGCCAGCAGCTCCAGGACCCTTTAGTCTATGGGGACTTGTTTAATTACCCTTTCTTCCTGAGATGAACATGAGAAAGCTTCGATGGGTTGCAGCAGTGGCAGAGAAACATGACTGTGATGCTCTTTGACCAAAATCAATTGTCCAAAGCACTTCAGCATGGAAAAAAT